TAGCATCATTCTTTTTGTCTTTTGTTTCGGTTTTTCTTATTGTTTTGTTGAATTGTTTTAGTGACAAAGTGCATGTTTTATTACCGTTCATATTTAGTCCAAAATCTTTGGTTATTTTATCGAACACTTTCACAAAGTGTTCTAGATTTTTTGGACTCTCGCACATAACAACAATACCATCAGCATACATTAAAGTTAATACATGTACATCAGGACCACTATTTCCTCGACAAGAAAGCCAAAAATCACCTAGTCGATATGACAACGTGACACCCTGTACGTTAGCTTGTTGTACTACCTGTTTCATAATATAGTCAATAAATATATTAAACAGGATTGACGAGAGAATGCATCCTTGTCTCATTCCAGTTTTCATTATGAAGCTGTCGCTAACATCTTCACCAATTTGAACTTGAGTGGATGTATATTCATATAGGAGTTATAAGATTTGTACTATCTTTTGTGGCAATCCATATGCTCGACACACTCGCCAAAGCGCTTTTCGATTAACAGAATCATATGCTTTTAGATGAATAAAGCACAAGTGCAAAGGTTGATTAGACTCACTTGATCTTTCCATGACCATTTTTAATATGAAGATCTGATCCATGGTAGATCTTCTAGAGCGAAAGCCTGCTTGTTTCTCCATCAATTTTCTGTCGAGTGAAGCCTGAATACGATTTAATATGATTCGAGCAAAGACTTTTCCTGCAACATCTAATAAGGATGTACCTCGGTAGTTGTCGCAGATCCATTTATCGCCTTTATTCTTGTAGAATCGTATTATAATAGCTTCAGTCCATTCTTTTACCATAACTTCCTGTTCCCTCACGTCTCGAATGATTTTATGTAACCATTCAGTGACAGTGTTACCGGCCACCTTTAGGAGTTCTGCCGGCACATCGTCTTTTCCTGGAGCTTTTTTATTTTTAATCTGTTCAATCGCTTTTTCACAACTTCATCAAGAGTTGGTACAGCATCCTGTCGAGCGAGCTTTTCATCATCAATAGTAGGACTTGGAATTTGTTGTAAAATCTGTTCACTTATTGTTGTGTTACCGTTGAGCATTTCACTTCCACATAACCTTCGAATGACTTGAAAAGCAGTCGTTGGATCGTAAACTTTGGCTGCATTTTCTATGTCTTTGCTTAACTCTTCCTAATATTCATGTTGCCTAGCATATACTTTATTTGTTACTATTTTTGCCAATGTGCAGTATCTGTTCCTATATTTATTCTCGTAGGCCGTACAACGATGTAGTTGCCAGTCCACATATGCTTTAGGTTTTTCGTCGACAATTTCCTTTAATTCTGGTGTGAACCATTCTGTTTTTATCTTTTTGAATGCTTTTGCTTTCTCCAAAGTACTGTCTACCATGTTCTCGGACACAATTAGCAAATTTTGTGAACTTTTCATTTACCAATAGGGTTTTATTTTTGCGTCGCATTGCATGGTAGTCTCTTGCTAGTCCGAGTTGAAAAGCAGAATTTAGACTACTGTCGGTCAATTTTAGATGATCTAGTCTTAACCGACTTTTTCTTTCTGTTTTTCGACGACATTTCAAATGTAATCGAATTTTAGCTCGTATTAAATGATGATCTGTTCCAATACTACCAGTAGCACTTCTATGAGCACGTACATTCTGTACACTAGTTCGAAATTTATGATTAACTAGCACATAATCTAACATGTGCCGCTGTTTAGTTTTTGGATGCATTCATGTGCCTTGATGAACTGGTTTTTGTGGAAAGAATGTGTTAGTGACTGTCAGACTATTGAATAGACAGAAATCGACTAGACAACGACGATTTTGATTTTGTTTGTCAATAGCATGTTTACCAACAGTTCCTCCGGCTGTATTGACCTGTTCTACTCTAACACGAGCATTAAAATCTCCCATTATTATAATCATATCAGTCTTATGGGTTTTATCTATCGTTGTTTGTAGAGTTTTATTGAACTCGTCACAGGCCTCAATATCATTTTTTAACCCATTCGAAGGATTTATAAGTGCATAGACAGCTATGATGGTCATTGAAACAGGTCAACACTCAATATGGACAGTCACAATCCTTGAACTAACTGCTTCCCATTGAGAACCTGAATTCTTCCAAGCACAAGTAGTTTCAGGATCCAAACACACGGCGCAGCCGTGAGCAGATTTCGATAGTAATTGTGAAGGTGAACCGAAATATATGAACGTATATTCATTTACTACACGAACACCCGAATCCGATATTTTTGTTTCAGCCAGTGCCGCCACCTGCATTCGATACCGTGGGTTCTGGATCCTAGGGGACGCCTTCCCAGCACCACAGGCAATGCCAGCCCCCCTGAAAGTGCATAAACACTACCCAGTAGAGGGAAACAAGTTGGTGAGTATTTGTCATCAGGGTTTTCTCTCCTAGGTGAGCTGCCTACTATAGCTGAGAGCATCATCTGTTCTTGGTTTTAAATCAGAGTTTTCCTCCTCCTAGGTGAACTACCAATGAAGACTAAAGAGCTCCACCTACCCTGGCTAAGGCTTATGAAACTTGGTTCGAGCAAGCCCAGCTTCTGGCGGCCTATACTCGCCATTTCACCTTGCCGTCTTTGAGTTTCTGCAGCATTTTATAGGTGTTTTGATGCCATCCAAAACCCCACCACACCCTGCTGGCAAAGCGACTAAATTGTCTGAGGACTGCTTATTTAATCGGTAGTTGATCTTATTCGCAGCTAACCATCATACTAATGGTCGTTCCACTATCCACAACCTGTGGATCCGCTTGGTAGTACTCGGCTGTGCTCCAAGCAACTGAATGGACAGTGATCAAGACTGGAAAATTTTAACAAACTTAATATAAAAATAGGAAAAATTCTCTTGTGTCCCATGGTTTCTAGCATGTCATAATTTTTTCAATTTTTTATTGACGTTGAAATATATTTTATGTTGGAGTGCCAAAAGTTGCGATCTCTGTGAGGGTATTGAAAGTATTGTCGGTCTTTAATTAATTTTTAATTTATGTACAGTGTTGAAATTAAGTATTTGTAAAAGTAGCGATGGAAATGTTTAGTAAAAAGAGAAAAGTTGAAGTTTAGCATTATCTATTTTGATAGTTATATGTCGACGTGAACTCTATGATGATTTAGTAAATGATGAGCTACTTTATTGATGAGAATATTATTGAGTTTTTCGTTGAGACCATTTTCTTACGTATAGATGGATTTAGT